AGATTCTTCTCTGCTCAGCTCCACCCTCCTTTGGCTGGGAAAGGGAATCCAGAACCTCCCTTTCTCCTGAAGACAAACTTGTTACATTTTCTTAACATAATCAAGGTTATATTTGGAAAACTTACATAGCTAAATCACATCCAGTGGTGACTGAAAACTTTCTAAAATTAGGAATGGGACAAGGATATCATGTTTTGCTTCTTCTGTTTATCATGTATAGCCACAGGCAAGAAGAAATAAAAGGCATCCAAATGGGGAGGAAGAAATGACATGCCCACAGAAGGCAAGATTTTATGTGTAGAAAACACTAAACAATCCACAAAAAACCTGATATATTATAAATTTAGTAAAGTTGCAAGTTAAAATATCAACATGTAAAAATGAGTTATATTTGTATACATCCAAGCACAGTGCCTCACACAAAGTACTCAGTTAAATTTCAAAGATGGCCCTCTCTGGTGATGCAAGGGGTTAAGTTTTAGCATTGTGCAGCTCCCTGCAGACACTGCTGCTTTTGTAGATCCCCAGTCAGGGAGCTGACCCACCCTCCTGCCTCACCTGCTCCTCCCCTCAGAGGTATATTTCTGTAGATCTGCCTGTTCTGCTCTCCATTCTGTCTCTGATGAATCCTCTCATACAGCAACCCCCACCCCCTGCCATATCCCAGCTCTTGTATACATGCATAAATCTTTTCAAAAAAACAAAAAAATTCAAAGGTGAATGTCCTGCTTCAAATTCTCTTCTGAATTCTAGTTCCCTGTGACAATGTCTTTGAACAACAGGCTAAATTCTTTAAATGGCTTCAGATGAGAACTCTCTTCTTCCCCACAAATCAACTCCTCTTCCAGCTTTTTTTTTTTTTCCATTCAGTCCCTACTTATTGAACTACTCAGAGCTAGACCTGAAGGGTATAAAGCTAAAGCAGTCAGCCCATGTCCTCAGGGACTGCACCGATCAGGCTCTGTTGATATTTAAAGTGGGAAGAGTCTTTGTAGTGAAAATCTGCCTTTTGGCTGCAGGATATTTAGTTGTACCTCTGCCTCTATTCACTAGATACTAGGATACTAGATCTGCCTCCCAATCGTTACAAGCCCAAATGTCTCCAGGCTTGGCCAAAAGTCCTCTGTGGAACAGAAACTGACCTCAGTTGAGAACCACTGGTCCATATGCAGACATTTAGATCCAGAAAGAGATCATTTTAATATAAAGTTAATGTAAGTACCATGTACAAAAAGGGCCTATAAGGGAATTAAATTGGAGACTTTGAAAATGCTTGTATCTATTTTGATGAATTGGCCAATAAAGCTTAGCCACATGCCATCATCAAAAGACAATAAACGCCTGAATTTTCCTAGTGGGTGACGAGGAGGCTAATGCTTGTTTAGTCCTTGCTCTGCAAAAGCTGCTTTGATTGTGTTGACGCATTCTCACAATAATCCTGCAAGGCCAGAATTTTTTCCCATTAGTGAGATGAAGAAAGTAAGCTAATGAGGTGTAGTGAGAGCTCCGGGCTGGGTGTCTTGGGTTTGCTAATGGTCCTACCTTCTTTCTGCTGCCCCATCATTGCGGTCAGCACACTCACTGGTCTTTGAATCTAAGCAGTCAGTGGTCTTGCCTGGAGGAGGACATGGTCACAATAGCTCTCAAATCAGGGTGAAGCTGGAGGGGGATGGGGGGATTGGAAAGGAGAAGATGGAAGGGATGTGAGAGATGCTGGGAGCGCTTTGCTTTTAAGCTGAGCAGCTCAGCGCTGTCTCCTGGCCAGGACATTAACTTCCAGCCAGTATCTCCTTTCCTCTGAGCATCTCTTAATCTGTGTCCTTCAGGGCTGTGGGAGGCTTGAAGGAGTTCGAGCATATAGAGCACTTGACTGTCCCTGTGCTCACTCTCTGCACCCAGCTAAGCCATGCTCAGAGGATGATGGAGCCTGACGAGTGTCTGCGACCACTCTTCCCCTACTCCGTGCTCTCTTTTCTCTTTATTGCCCTCCTCTGACAACAAAGGCCAGTCAGCCTCTCCAAGGAGCCTTCTAGAGCTGCGGTAAACGGCAGTTTTCCTCTGCAGCCCTGGTTATGCGCCCTCTGCTGGGAAGATTTGGAATGACAGAACTACTGTACTGGTTTCTGAAATCCTGATTTGGGATGATAGGCATGTGTTTGTTTCCAACCGTCCGACCTCTAGTAGTATCACTCAAGAATCATTTCTGAGAGCCGACTCTGCCCAATTGTCTTAAATGTCATCTTAATGGCATATCAACCTAATGGGTAGCATTACTTCCTCTTTCTAGAGAAGAGATTGAGGCACAGGGAGGGGACTGAGACACTTGTTCAGAGCCTCATAGTAAATGTTGGAGTTGGGTTCACATCAAGTCCTACCTGACTCCAGATATTACTGCCTTGGAATATGGGGTGACTGTCCGTCCTCCCCTCGGGGAGTGTGAATCTGAGTAATGCTGAAGTTGCCACTTGTTGCTGTCCCCAAAACCTCCAGACCCAGAACAGTCTCCATGATCTCTCCCTAGAGGTGCCGAACTTGCTGCTTGTGTTTCCTTGGACACATCCCTGCTCTTACCTGGCTCCAACTCAACCATTTTTCCTGTGATTGGAGCAGCAAGGCTCCTAGTGAGGACAGTATGAAAGCTGGGAAGAGCCTGTACATTTTATCCACGGAGGGAGAGAAACAAGCTGAGAATCACTGAATCTTACAGGGGGTTTAAGGGTTCTGTCTTTAGTTTCATAATTATGAGCAACAAACGGCCACTCTGAATGACCTAAATGGATGAGATAAATTGAAATGATGTATATGACTAGAGAACCCGCTGGGAATACAGGCCGAACAGGTGGATGGGGGTTCAGCCCGTTAGGTCCACAATGAATCTGGTAATCTGGTCTTGGTACAGCTGCAGTCTGGAAGCCACAGCTGGAACCATCTCTGGAGGCTGGATGAGGAGGCTGCTGCTTGTTTCTGCTCACTGGTTTTATCAGTAACTGATAAAGGTCTGGGGCAAGTATCTATCAAACCTGGCCCACTGGCCTGACCTGGCCAAGAGGCTTTTTTTTTTTTTTTTTTTTTTGCTTTTCAGGTGGGCAGTAATCTTGACCTCCCACCAGGACTTAAATGGTATGGTCTTCAAACATAGGCAAGTTAGATGCCAGGCGCCCTTTCAAAACAAATGTCCACTACAATGGTCACCCAGTTAAAACTTCTCCCTTGCCTTCCCCTCTGTCCCCTTAAATTGTAGATGAGCTTTAGAGGGTAGATAGGCACTCTTCTCAACCAAGGCAAATCAGTTCATCTGCTGTTTTGAGTTTGAAGCTGTCAGGTTTCTGGATGCGGACCACTGTTGCTATGCAATCCTAATTCTACCGTGTGCTTCTTCCCAACAGGCCCCCACAAATGCATACCCATCTTCCTCTGGTATGTCTGAGTCTATGTAGCTCCCCTAATATGTGCGTCACTAAATACCCTTTCCTGCGTTGGGCACTTTCACTTTGCTTGATGAGAGCATTAGGTTTAGGAAGCAGTTCTGTGTATAGATCCCAGACGGATGTTCCCAGACCTTGCTGTGCATGAGAAGACCCCTCTGACACACCAAAGTGTAAATCAGAATCTTGAGCAGGAGGTAAAAAAAAAAAAAAACACTTCAAAAAGCCCCCATGGTATTTCCTATGCAGTCAGGAAGGTGCACTGGAACCTCCTAGAACAGAAACTCATCTTAATACAGGCTGAGGTTCCAACACCTTTTCCATTTGCTAGACTCAAGGATATAGAACTCAGAGACACCTGGACTACATCTGTATCTGGATATATCACACGACTTAGAAAATACTCCAGTGTCACCCAACTTCTCTAACCCATGACCACCTAATGGGGCCCAGGCCACAGGCACATGCGCTCTGCAGTTCCTGGCACCTCACAGGTTTCTGATTCATCATTATTCACTGTTGACCCAAAGGCACACTTCACCTAATGCATAACCCAGCCCAGCCTGGGTAACCTTGAACATTGGACAGCTATTTCAAGGTGCTGCATACTTGGAATACTTTCTAAAATCTGGGCCTGATCCTCAGAATTGCAGGGGTCAGACCATCAGAACCTCCAAAAAGCCCAAAATAGCTCAGGATTCATGCCAAGCCCCTGTACCCGAGGCTGCCAGGCAGCAGCTTTCTGTGTAGGACACACGTACTGCCAGGTAGCAGGCAGACTGCTCTGTGCCAAGCCAAAGCATGTCATCTGTGCACTGAATTCTCACCATCTGATTACATAGATTTTCTTACTGTTTTACTCATGATCTAAATCTGTGACTAAGAGGTACTGCTGGACCCTGAATCCAGGCATTCTGGCTCTAGGGCACTCAACTTGCAACTACATGTATCTGAAGAAAAATCCTTTTAAGGGTATTTTGTGTTCACCTTTACTTACACTAATCTTGTTTGGTTATGACTAAAGTAAGATACAGCACTGACTTACAGTCACCTGCATCTGAGAGCCCAGTTTTGATTTGCCTGTAAGCTACCTGGCTCCCAGCCCATGCTGTCTCACCTTCTGGTTGCAAGCCACATAAACATATCCGCATGACCAGGCTTCCAGCAGCACTGCTCTCCAGCACACAGGAACCCAAGGGTGCCTTCCTTATAAAAAGGCTTCTCGCAGAGGGTGCTGCCCAAAACTTGTATCTGACTCTAAAACCGTGGCCCCTCCCACCTAGAATCTGTCCAGTTGGCTGGGCCTGGTGGTCTCTGGCCTACACCATCCTACAGCAAACTTCATACATGGCTCTCTGGGGACATCCAGAATCAGCTCTTCCAGAAGAACAATCTTTGCACCTATTCATTTACTTCTAACAAAATTTCTGTAGATAACTGACTCATAAGTCTTTGTGGGTCAACAATGGTGTCAAACACTGAGACAAGAGCAGTACGGGACAAGCACTTATCTAGAACCAGCCAGAACAAGCAAGGGTTAACAAAGCTTCTCAGTAAATTAAACACAAACCTGATGTAATTATTTAATGACATTGATAAATGATGTTATGAAACAAGCTGGTAACAACGGTAAGGACTTCACTTCCGATAAAAAATTAAAAATATACAAAACACCAGATTATATAGCAAAACATCAACATTTACTTTTTGTTCAGTGATTATTCTTCTCTTGGCTTTGCATATTTTTAGAAACATGATTATTTCTTAAGCAAACCACCCTTCCCCCCACTTCCCAAGTTACTGGACAGGAAGCAATTACTACAAAGCCAGGAGCCCAGGAAGCAAGATGTGAAACCCAGGTCAGGGCCAGCCAGGTGAGTCAAGCCCAGCCGCGGAGCATCATTCATGTTCCTTCCCACCGGAAAGCTCTAATCTGATGTTCTCATTGTACGTATATGTACAACTAGCACAGCAGAATGATGCAGGCAACTTTGGTTTTGAATCACTACAAAATGTAATAACCATTTTACAGTTAAACACATCAGAAATACAACATAAAAACACAGTAAGGATTCAGAGCTTCAGCAAACCTATCTGCTTAAAACTATTCTTTGCATTTTTTGACCGCTGTTCATTTTCAGTTTTTACCATAAGTCTGTTTTTGTTTTATGGATCTGGAAGAGGCAAGATGCCAATATTAGTATATACTATGTACCATACAATGGACTGGCTTTGCCTTCTAAGTAAATCTGCAGAGTTGGAAAGACTTGCCCAAACTAAGCCACTTAAAATCAACAAATTTGAATGAATTTGGCCAAATTTTAAAAAAATGGTCTTTGCTAGTTATCAAATGGAACACAGTAGATTACATCTCTACTGGTGTGAACGAGGCTCAAGAACCTCAGATTTGTGGCCCTCACCCCAGACATTAGGACTGTAAGGGGTACTCGGTTCAAATAATGACAACCCACATATTTTGTTCCTTTGAAAAAAAAGGAACAGATCCACTGTTCTAGAATCTGATGTATACAAAGGAAAACAAAACAAAACAAAACAAAAAAACAATGCTACTTCCACCTGAGGCATGTCTTAGTGATTTCCCAAAGCTTTCACCCTTTACACTGCAGCATTTTCAGGAGGGGAGAAAACCAGTGTAAAGGTCCAAGAATCAATCAAACCCAAAGAATACAGAGGGACGAGCTTCCTTTTCACCATCTGGCTTGAGGGCACCTGCCCTACAGCTGAGCTGCCTGGTCTCCCCGGGTGCCACAGACATCTTCAGGCACCAGGGAGGAAAGGTATAAAAATAATTTGATTAAAACAATGACAAGTTTTGGAGAACATTTAAACTTAAAAATATTCTATTATCACAACAAAGACAAAATTGATCTGTTGCTTTGCTCTTGGGCAATAAAGGAAAACAACTCTTCTTTTATATCTCAAAAATAAAAGACTTGCTGGAAATAACTGTGCTGAATGCTTGCAACCTAAGTCAATGTATACTCTTCTACGATAGGTTCAAATCCTAACAGTACAAACATTTGTTAGAATGAGGAAGAAAAACCCATTTTAGAAGAAAGCTATTCAAATTGAAAGGATGGTGTCTTCAGTGAGAGAACTGTCTTCTGTCGGATGGCTTCTTGCTTATGTGCTTAAAGATCTTAGCCTTCTCAACTTTCTTGGCTTTCTGGAAGCCAAATCCACCGCCACCTCCTCTCTTTCTTGTCTTGCCATCGTTGGTGTTGACGTCTGAAGACGAACATTAAGGAAACTGAGCAACACAAAGATAACTCAAGTCTACCTAAAGCTCCAGCCAGCAGGTGACTCTCCAGAGGCACAAACCAGTAAGCCTAAGCCCATGCAAGCTCATGCTAGGAAACTGGGAGTTGCCATGATTGTAGAATAAAACTAGCAGGTGTTGACTAAATCAGCTAACAGCTACAAGATTTTTTCCCACACAAATTACGAATACTATAAGGAGTTAAGAGGTAAATCAGCAACTTTATAGAACACGTTAAAAACACCTTTCAAAATAAATGATTTTCACTTGTGTTCAGAATGGATTCAGACATGTTTAAGCAAATGATGCTGTTCTTCCCTTCACGTGGCTAAACCTGTGTTCACTGAGAAAGATACTCAATGCACACCATGAGGATTGTGACTGGATATTCAGTCCTCAAGTCCCCTGGGTATCACCGTCATGATAACACTAGGCCTCACTTTATCTGGTTCATTTTCTTCTGTTGAAAATGTACTAACAAAAGAGCTATCACAAATTCCAACAAGCAACTAGATGTATTCCCACTCCTTCCCCTTCCATCTTGAGTAGCACTCAAGTTTTATTTTCTTTTATTGATCATGCAGCTTTCCTGTGTGAAATCCTTCAATGGCCAAGAGGATAATCCTTGCAAAGGTCTTGCTTCGGCTTCTGGGCATCCTGCTCCTCCAACTACCTTGCACAGTGAAGCCTCAGCACCATGTGAGTCCTGCAATTTCACCCTCTGTGTTTCTCTCCCTTGGGCACTGTCTGCCAGTCAAAACCTTCTTTTCCTGTTTTAGGGCCCAAGCCAGAAACTGCCTTGCTTTCTGTAAGCCTCACCCCTATAACTGCTCTCTCGTGGCCACACACAGGCACTGATGGGCAGTGACTGGGACAGATGAGCTGGGCCTCCAGGCCTCAGCCATAGCACAGGCAACCCAAGAGTAAGCCCCCATCTGCTTCCATCAAAGCGCCTGACCACCAGTACCCAGAGGAATTCAGAACAATGAAAAGGATACTCAAATCAACAAACGGAGGCACCTTGAAACCGAATGACAGAGCAACCTGAGGCAAATTTAAGTTATTAACATTAAAGATCTGTTTCAGGGAATGAGAATCATATGCTCGAATGTATGATTTATATGCTTCCTGGGCTGACTTATGAAGGAAGTAGTTCTTTTCAATCAATTTTTCAAGCTGAAATGGAAAGAAACACTGGTTTTAGTTTAAAAAAAAAAAAAAAAGCAGGTCACACATACACCTATACATACACACATACTTGCCAATTTTATAGTCACACACACACATAACAAAACCATTCTGTAAAACATTTGTTCCTATATACTTATTCCAAGCTTTGTAATATTTGCAAAATCAGGTTGCAGGAAGAACATCAAAACTGCAGTAAGGCAAGGACTGACAGTGAGCACAGAAGTGGTAACTAGTGACCAAGAAAAGCCCAAGGGTCTCTGTGGGAAAGGAGACCTGGAGGAAAAAGCAGACGTTGAGGCTACTTCGCACTCCAAAATGTTTATAGAGAGCTTACCTGAGACTGAATGTCAGAAATTTTAGACCAGGAGAACTCAAATTCACTTAATGGTACCTAGAAAGCAAAAACATGAAGATTAGTACACCAGGATGAATCAGTAGTCACACTTAAGCTGAATGAAAGTGACCCATGGCCACAAGCGGCTGGTAGGTGAAGGGCTGGGCAGAGAAGGTTCCAAGACAGCGCACTAGGCGTGGGAAAAATGCGGACAAGCAGGTCCCCGCGATCGATTCCTGTGAGATAGATAACTGCTCTGTTTCCTAATGCCAAAGGGAAAGTCTCATCTTCCTTCTGTGAGTGTCACATAACTGAACTTTCGCAAAAGAAAGGCGAGGAACTGGGCTGGGACAATGAGTCTTTTAGTGAGAGACAGATGATGAAAGAGCTAACAGCAGGGGAGAGATTGAAGGCAACACAGTTTGATGAATAAGGGAGGGGGCTGGGATTGGCTGCCCACTGCTCCAGGTGAGGAGAGGGAAAGGCTGTGGGGTGAGGAGCTAGAGGAGACTGCAGGAGGGAGCAGAAGCACAGAGAGGAGCATGAGAGCAGCGAGGAAGGGTTCTGGTCTTCACGCTGGCAAGTGTGAGCCCAACTTGGGACTTACCAAGCAAAGCTCTTACCTTGGACTGCTTCAAATAACGAAGGAAACCCAATTCTTCTGGGCGCAGAATGAGCAAGGCATGTCCCCTTCCGTTTAGCCCTCTGGCTGTTCTACCCACACGATGTATATATTCCTTTGTTGGAAAAAGAAAATGAGTTAACATGGGAGCCTGTTAAGAAGTCTGCATCTCCAGAGTGTGCTTGCTCGGCAGGGGACAGAGGGTGCCTGCACATCTACAGGAGATGGTACCCCTACCCGTGGGCTGTGCCACACAGCTATGGCCGTTTCCCCGTCTGTGCATGCCACCCCCAAAGAGGTCTCAGAGGACAATGACTGAGGCTAAAGGCAGGCAGGGCACAACATCCACAGAAACTCTAACAAAATGACCTACTAGGTGTGCTGCATCATCAAACTGGCCTTTTCAAACACAGTTACATGTTGGCTGACTGACTCTACTATTCTTGAAAACACTGAAAGTTTGTTCTACTACAAATACTGCAGAATCTTACCTAGCTGAGTAAGCAAATTTTATTTCCTTCTGACAGGTATTGCTTTTAAGAGACGGTTTTTGAAGCTCTCTGCACTAGAGGAATACTGCAGTCACTACAGGAAAACACACCTGTCACTAAGAGACTCGCCTTTGTGAAATGTGCCAGAGCCAGTGAGGTCCTCAAGGCAGAGGCATTCAGGAGAAAGCACAAGTTACCTTGGGGTCATCAGGAGGGTCATACTGAACAATCCAGTCAACTTCAGGAATATCCAGCCCTCTCGCTGCTACATCTGTACACAGGAGGATCCCTGAATCTGCATTGCAGAACTGGAAGAACGTGGTTGTTCGCTTGTTTTGCTTCTGCTTTCCCTAGAATCAAAGAAAATATCCATTAGAGTGGGAACCTTGAAGTTGCTAACCTGTTTGATGCCAGGTTTACTCTTTGGCTTACACCCCGTCTTTTCAAGTGGAAGGCATCCTTTCTGCACTGTGGGCCTCACCCCTCCAGGCCCAGCAAAGCTTCCTCCCCACAGGATGCATCATCCAGGGCTTATCCGCCTACTCAGAGCTATGGTTAGGAGAGCAAAACCTCAAACCTCACCATCTCCACAACTCACTAAGCATAACCTGCTTTTATTAAACTCCTAATCACTTACATGAATGGCCAAAACAGGTAAATCAATGTAGTTCAGCAACTCATAGTGGTATTTCACGGATTTACAGGAGGAAAAGAAGACCATTAATTTCTTCTTTCTGTTCTTCTTAAGAAAAGTAAAGAGTAGAAGGAATCTCTTTTCGGAGGGACAAACAACATAGCCCTAGATGTGGTTTAGGTAAACAAAGACAAAATGATGGACATTTCAGTTTCATGAACCAACAGAGTATGGTAGTGAGCACAAACTATCTTCAGCAAAATTACTGTCTTCATTATAACAAAGCATTCTTAAAACAATACTAATTTTGGCTTTTGATTACTTTTACTGGCTGCAATAAATGAACACTTAATATCTTTCATATTTCTAAGATTATTCATTATCAACAATTCTTACAACCATAATTATTAACATGTCTACTATTTGGGCCTTCTAAAAGTGTATCAGTGACTCAT